TGTCAGCCCCTGACATCCAACCACCTCTTCCCCGTCCATGCCCCATGGAGCTGGCCTTAGGAGCCTCCCATGCCAGCCAGAGCTGTTGAAGTTGCTCCTTTCCTTGCTTCCATAAGCTGCTGCCCACCCCCACCCCATGCCCCCTGTCTTCAGACCACAGTTCCTGACTCTAGCACCTATAGTAGGTCGGTACTAAGTACATCTTTGTTCATCATGATGACTGGGAGGTAGAACGACACCAGCTGTGTATGCCAAAGACCTGGGTTGGAGTCCTGATCTCACTTCTTCTCTACTCTTATGAATTTGAGCAACTTATCCAGCCTCTCTGAGCAATACTTTCCTCATCTATTCGATAGAAATAGCAAAGACCACTTTGTCGGGAGGGATTTATATATAGAGTACCCCACTAATGTTGCAGAGGATAAGATGACCTGGCTCCAGATTGCATCTGGTGGGTGACTTCCAGAGTGAATGGGCGATAGTTCAGAGAGGAAAAGAGGCTTGCTATCAAGGGTGACTGAAGCACCTCACTTGTCTAAATTTGCCTTCTATAGCCACCCCCACCACTTATTGTATTTTCTATTTTGCATTGCACAAAGGAAGTTTACTTATGGTGGCGGCTTTGGGGCCCTCACTTTTCCTCCCATGGAAAGGCTGCACTTGATTTTTTCCAGAAAGCAGGCACCCCCACCACTTATTGTATTTTCTATTTTGCATTGCACAAAGGAAGTTTACTTATGGTGGTGGCTTTGGGGCCCTCACTTTTCCTCCCATGGAAAGGCTGCACTTGATTTTTTCCAGAAAGCAGGTTCTGTCCTATCATAAGACCAGTGGGGAACAACTGGACACTGGGCCTCAGGCCTCGGGAGCCTATTTCAGGAAGCTCCTGAAGGAAATGGTGGGATCGTGTCTGGATCTATGAATGGCAGCTTTTTCAGGACCTGTAGGAGGCTCTCATGGACAGTCTGGGCCAGCAGAAGAGCCTTGGATAGGGTTCAAGGAGGTGGGCTCCTGTGGAAAGCAAGAAGGAGGCTCAGTGCTCTCTGGAGTCAATCTCATTTCTGACAGCTAGCCCCAGGAGGAACTGAACAAGTCTGTCTCTGGGCTGGGCACTTGTGTAAAACATTTATGCAATCCTGTTGACTCTGCGAAATTCAGTACTTCAGTCCCCACCCATGCGGAGCAGGAGACAAGGGACAGGCAGAGCAGAGAGGATGGCAGGAGGGGGTTGATCAGTTGCCCATGGGGATTTCTCAAGATGGTTTTTTATGTTGTTTGGTACAGGCCAGTAGTTTTCCAGATGACCAGGTCTGTGTTTTGTATGTAAATAGGTCTTTTATCTATCAAAGGGATACAGACTCAGCCCAGGCTGCAGCAGTTCACTCCTGGGTCAGAAGCCCAGAGACATGATTGACCGATAAAACTCCTTAATATCCAGGAAATTTCTGGGCATCCTTGTTTCCTAGAGGAAATGATCATGGGGTGCGCAAGATAAAATAAAAATGTAATCTCCTTGAGTGAGGCGGTAGGGCTGGGATGGCCTACCTGGAGTCCCTGCACCCAGCTTAAGCAGGGAAAGCAAAGACTGTTCTGAAGCTTTCCCTGAAGCCACATGGTGGCAGTGTGGAGCTGCAAGTGCCCACACTGTGAGCCTGGCCTGGTCTGGACTGGGCTGAGCAGCTCCTGATGAGACCCTTTCTTAGGCCAAAGATTGCTGAGGCCCAGTATACACGCCTCACCTTTCCTGAACACCCTGAGGCAGTAATGACCCACAGGAGCATGCTGGGAAACTCGCCTAGCCTCTCAGCTTGAATGCCATGTGGAATTTTCTCCTAAGGTTCTAAAGAGTTTTAACCCCTCATTTGACCCAATTCTCCTGAGATACCTGGACACATGTTTCTTTCTCTCTTACACCTGGAGGATATATTTGGCAAGGGCAAAGAACAAGATGTTTCTACTACAGAATGAGGGGCTGAGCATAGGAATTCCTGCCTGAAAGGCAGGGGCCACATGAGCAAGTATTTGTGGGAGCCAGTGGAACCTCCAAAAACTAGAACAGCAAGAGTTACTTTACTGTGTTCTGGATTAGAGGCTGGGGGCTGGGGTCAGGTGGCCTCTTGAGAGCCCCTCTGAGCCCAGTAATCTGTCCTGATCCCCGGAGCAACAAACCCACTGATGTGAAGCCTAAAATACCTCTTGGTCTAGTTGGCTAATAATACACTCATGGAATTTTGCTGCAGTTCTCATGGTGGGCATTTAGTTGCTTTTTTTTTAGAGTAAGAATTCATTAAAGACAGGTCACATTTATTGTGCTCTACTGTGGCCTATATTTCCAGCTCACTGTTGGAACATAATCAACTATCTGCTGGTTGCCAATAACAAATCAGTTTCTCTGTATCTTATTATCAGATAATTTTGGAGAGATTTTTATCCAGTTCTCGACCATGGAGGAACCCAGTATGGAGCAGCATGATCGTTCCCTGGAGGTAACAACGACATATAACATGGGAGAATGTGACTTCCTTGAACTGGAAACTATGCCCCTTATACGGTGATTACTCACACAGGTGACTGTTTGTACAGATTTAGGCAGGTGACCCTCTAAGTTCATGGAAATATCACAAACAATAGGCCATTTTATTTCTAGCAACATGACTTGCAATGACTTTGAGGATTATTTCAAATTGTCAGCTGGCCTCAATCATCAGCTTATTGGTTCAAACTCCTTAGAAGATGAAATCAGCCTTCCCCTTCCTCTTCCTCCAGGGAATCAGAAGAGTCTTCTGTGCCATCAAACTTCAAAACTCTATAAATCACTTGGTGTAGTCACACTTTCAAATCTCTTCTTAAACAGCACTTTCCGAGAATGATTTCACCTTATAGACAATCAGGATGGGGACTAATATTAACCTATAAAATGTCACCCTTTTGAAGAAGAGTTATTATAGATCTTAATCAGATGGTCTGTGGCATTGTGCAGCCTCTGGTCTCTGGTCTCCCAGACCTCAACTCCACGCTCCAGAGTATCATGGCAGATTCTGAGCCCAGGCACAGACATTGCCCCCACACAGTTCAGCTCAGGTCATCAGTCCCTCGGCATTGATTAAGAGCCTGCACCAGGTCAGACCTGTTCCTTTGCCTTCGCCATCAACTGATTTTTTACCCTTCTTTCTAAACCGAGGTTAGAAATCACCTCTCTACAGAATGTTTTCTCTGATTACGTCTCCCTGATCCTAACACGCTTTTCCCCAGATCTGTGTAAACAGTGATAGGCTCTGGTTTCACTGCTCTGTGTTAATTCCCCTCCGTTACATGTTGTTTTGTACGTGTTCTCCAGCTCTTTCCTGTCCCCACAAGTAGGTCGTAGATGCCTTGCTCCCACTCTGATGTTACCAGGTGATCAAGTCTTTTTATTTATATCCCCTCTCAATGCCCAGGGCCTGTTGCAGAATTCTGCAGAAAGCAGGCACTCTGTGCTGCCATAGTTGTCCCCTCTGCGGGCATGGGAACTGTCTCGGCAGTGTCCCTGCAGTCTCTCTCAGGTGCACTTAACTTGCCTGAACCTCTTCAGTACAATCATGAATTTTTTTTTCCTTCGTAAAAGATATCAATAAGAAGTAGTTTCGTTTTTTGATGCAAGAACAGTGTTGTTATTATTGGCGGTGTTTTTCTTCATTCTGCCTCTCCAATCAGTAGACTCTCTTTTTCCCCATTAAGAAAAGCTTTCTAAGGAGAGGACCGCCAATGCTAGCTAAAAGGTGAAGGGACAAAGAGACCGGCAAATTTTCCAGGCCCAGAATTCTAAACCGGTGCCATCTCTTCAGATCATCTTGGGGAAGAGGAATCTGGAAAGATGAAAACCAGCCAGCTGCTCTCAACACCAGAGCTAGGAAGGCCATTGACAGCCAGCAGATGGAGCTCAGTTAATGAGCAATCAGACCTGAATGCCACTCATCTGGCGTTTGAATTTGGCTAGGAGCATTTTAGGGTTTCAATTTTGGGGGCATGTTTGTTTAGCTATTGTGAACAAATTTTTAAAAATTTCATGTCTTAATTAGCTGTTGGAAAAAATACTTGTATATTGTATATCTAGTCACTGGTTACTGCATGTTATCAGTTGTAAAGCAGTTTAAGTTAATTCTCTTAGATTTTCTAGACCGAGGATATCTTATTTTTGTTAACTGTTTTATTGCCCTGATTAAAACTTCTAGAGCAATGTTAGCTAACAAAGAAAATGGCAGGTTTGAGGACATTCTTTGTTTCTCACTTAGTAGGACCTTGTCTAGGACCTTACAGTCACATATCATGTAATCTGCTATTTGAGATAAGCTATTCTTAATTAAGTTAAGAAAGTGTCCTTTTATTCCTAATTGGTTTGGGAAAAAAAACAGGAATGGATATTGAATTTTATTGCATTGAATCTTGGAAGATTTTCCTTGGAATAACAGACTGTTATGCTGGTTGGTATTTACCAGGATTCTACTTGTCATCTTTTGCTTATAAGAAACAGCAAATTCAAAGGATGATTGATGGTGAGCTTTCTAAATGAACTATTTAAAGTTCTGAGGGCAGAGCAGGACTACTCAGCAAAATACACAAACGAGAAAAGGGACAACATGGAAGGTTAGGCAAGAGGAAAAGAGGAACTGCAACAGCAATTTTATTTAAAACTTTTAAGGAAGTTGTTTATTGCCAATAATTAAAGAGCTCAAAGAGAAGTCATTTAACCATAAGATTGCCAAGCAAAACTCTATTATTATAGCTGATTAAAGTCTTTTAAAATTTTTCCATAAAGAGAGACCTCCACTTTTTCTACTGATGTACTCCAGTGTTTTCATACTTTACCTGGAAGTTCTTTCTAACCTAATCTGATCTGAATCTTTCTTGCTGAAACATAAGCCTATTTTTCCCCCTATGCTTTGTTTAAAAAAAGATGAACTTCCCTACAAAATAAATGCAAAAATCTATAGAGAACTGCATGGCATTAAGAAATCTAGAAATCACACAGCCACTTGACTGTATTCCACTGTCTCAGAAGCAGAGTCCATAGAAGTCCAGAAATTGACACTGTGGTTTTCTGGATTGACATTGACATAATCTGTGGTTTCCTTTATGTTCTCATAGTCTGGGGCAGATTCATTTTTTAGTCCTCCGGGGGCTGAAAAGGCCATTTCTGTGTAATTCACATCCTCGGTGGCCTGAGGACAAAAGCAGAGACATGTGGGTCAAGATCCCTACCATGTTTGGAGTCCTGACCACTGACTCAAACAGGATTGCCCAAGTCTTGGTAGGAAAGGACCTGGGATCAGGTGGCCATGTCCAAGAGCAGGGCCAGGGCAGTGCAGACAGCTGCCAATGGCTTTGTTCCACCTGTCTGCAGGGGTTGGGCAGAAGGAAGAGCAGGTGGCAGTCAACAGGAAGAGAAGATGCAGAGACACAATCCTAGTGAAGTCAGGACTCAGAGCAGATTTTGGCCCAGTGACGGGGCATGAGGAGAAGGGGCTTCCCATTAGCACTCTCATATTTATAGTCTGCTCAAACCCACTTTGTGTGGATGACCCATGCTGAAGGGGGCTGTGCATGGCAGCCTGACTTCCTCACTCACCTAAGGGTGCTGTAATGACCCAAGAAGACCTCTTTTCCTGCTCCCACCTACATAGCCGGGGTGGCCTGAGGTTTCCGGGTTGACTGCAGGTGGAGGGTTCGGATCACTAGGAGTGTCCATTACCTGGCAGGTGGGAGGTGAGCTGCTGCAGATATCTGAGCTGTCCGAGCTATCTGAGGATGTGTCACTGTCATCTGGGGAGAAATAGAAACATTTCCTCTTCTAAAGCAAGCCGGAGGGTGTTAAGAGAGGATAGAGAAAATGGATGGGAGCATGAGACCAAGCCAGCAAGGCAAAGAGGAGGGGAAGATGCAGAGCCCACAAAAAAAGAAAGAAGGAGAAACAGAACAGAGAAAGGGTGGTGAGAGAGAGCCTCCAAAAATGGACGGGAACGTGACCCAGAGCCCACACACTGCTGCTCCATGCAGTTCCAGCTAAAATGAATAAAAGCACACTGGCTTGCCCGTGCTTGGGAAGGACAGTCTGCCAGAAAGAGACATCAGCAGGGACACTGAGACAGTGTGGCCAAACACAAACGGCTCTGGCCTCACAAGTCATAGGCACAGGTTCTAGTCTAAAGCTGTCACTTACTCTAGGCAGGCCACATATCTTTTTGTGCCCTGGCTTTGTCTCCTGTAAAACACAAGGGTTGAGCTATGATCTCCGAGGTCCCTGCCAGCCAGCCAGTCTATGACTCTGGCCAGCCTCTGGTGCAGCTTTGGGGCCAGGGATCAGGGTGAGGTCGGTGACTCTCCTGCTCTGCCCAAACGCTGAGGGCACAGCAGCAGCACCCCATGGTTCCCATGGGCACTGTGGCCTCATCTCAACTGAAAAGACAAAATCAGAAGGACAGAAAACACTCAAACCAACCAAGAGATAAACCAATGGAAAAAGTGCCATTTCTGGTGAGTGAGCCCCCAGCAGAGAGTTGTCTTACTGCCAAAGCAGCAATTTCTCCTGTGTGAATAGTGACTACTGGGTCTCCAGAGCCCTGAGATAAAAAACAAGAGAATGGTGTTCCTGGTGGTTCGCTTGCAGGAGGGGGATAGAGATTTGAACCATCCCCAAGACTCATATCTATTCAAACACCGGATACCCAGGCAGATCCAAGAAGGTGGAGGGTCCCTCTGAGCTAGTGACCCTGGCCAGATGGCACGATGCACAGCAGCAGCCATAGCTGGAGGAAGGCAGAGGTGGTTGAGATCTTAGCTCCACTGTTAGCCAAAAAGAGGAAAAGATGCCAGAGTACTACAGGGAGGAGCGGACAGTCCCCAAACCGCCCAGCAATCATTTGCATATGATCCAGCCCAGAAAAGAACTTAGACCCATACAAACCCAGTGGGGTCTCCCCACATGATAGGAAGAACTTTCTGAAGAAGGCAACTGGGGAGGCCAGTACTGAAGTGGGTGTGAGGAATCCTCAGGCTAGAGGTTTGGGCCGGCAGGGACTTGAGCCACTGTGGGGAGGCTCACCAGGTGCCCAGACAGAGCAAAGTAAGTTCACGACAAGCACTCCCCCACCCCTCACTCACGCCTGTACTGGGGATCAGGCACAGGAGTGCCTCTCTCTGCCCGAGTCTCCTTCAGCTCCTTGGCAGCAGGTGGGCGATCGTGGGCAGGGCTGGGCCTGGGGGCCTGGAGTTTGGCCTCTTTCAGTATCCGTTCACTCTGGTGGGCTGGAGGGGAGAGGGCACAAGTCGAAAGTGAAGGCTGCCTGGGTTAGGCATGGTCTCTCTGGAAGCAGCACCTTCTGAACACTGCCCTCGACAGGGCACAGAGTTCAGAAGGCTCCCTTGGGATCTCACACTATTCTGCTCAAAACCCCACAGTAGCTCCTCACCTCATGTGGGGTAAAAGCCAAAACCACAGCCTCTGCAGCCCCTGCGGCCTCTCTCCTCCGTCCTCCCTAGCCTTTCTCCTGCCTCTCCCTCTTGGCTCTTCCTGCTTTGTGCCCAATGTGCTCCCACGTCCAGGCCTTTGCAGGTCCGGCTCACTCCTCACTTCCTGCAGGCCTGTACTCACATGTCAGCATCTCAGGCACATTGGTCACCCCAATCCACATCTCCTCGCCTCGCTTCATCTTTCCTCCCTGGCACTGATCGTAATTAATGCACATATGTTTTACTTGTTCAGCTTGCTTGTTGTCCCATGGAATGGAAATCCACAGGGCAGGAGTTTTTGTTTTGTTCCCTGTTGTATAGCCCGGGTCTAGAGAGTACCTTAGG